GTTTTCTTTCTGTGCATTGATGGTTTTATCATTATATATATATATAGAGAGAGAGTAACCTTGCAATCCTAAAGCTCTTTTGAATGTTATTCTTTGGTTGAATATCTGCTGAATTTAGTATCAAATAACTAACAATTTGCCCCAACAGTCGGCTGTGTTATAGTATAAATGTTTGTTATAACAAATATGCATATCCTACTAGAGCTCCATATTTTGTGATCTAAAATTCCCATGATTTTCCTAAAAATGGGATATTCGCAAATTAAATTTTTTGTGCTTTAACCAACATGTGCAGCTGTTACAATGACAACTTGGTAGTTTTTTTTGTGATTAAAATTTCTGTGATTATTAAAATTTCACAGAAATATTAGAACACTAAAATTTAGAGCTATATGGTACTATATCACTCACACAAATGATTAATTCTCAACCTAAGTGGCATATGCATTATAGTTTTACTTTTCTTTGTCTACTAATAGGAATGTGATATTAAAGAGCTATCACCTGATAATAGAACAGTATGGAGGCTAGTAGCTGATGAGCTGGAATCACTAGGCATGATAGTGAAAGATGTGAGCCTACCTCATTTCTCTTACTCTGTTCCATGCTACACTGTCATCTGTTCTGCTGAGGCCTCTTCTAACATGGCAAAATACACTGGAGCCATTTTTGGTGACTCATAATAATAAGATTCTTTTATTTATACAATATTCAGGATATGATTGTTCAAAGGCTCATTCCCCATCAACAGTGGATGAGATGTTTGCCTATAATAGACAGTTTGGACTCGGACCTGTTGTTAAGCACAGGATTATTGCTGGGACCTACTTTCTCTCATACCAGTAAGATTAACAACAATTATAACTGTGTTAATAATAATTACTCATTATAATTTCATATCTTAAAGTGGAAGGCATCATTATGAACAAGCTCTTAAAGCACGAAGCTTAATAAAGAACGATTATCGAACTGTGTTTGACAAAGATGGTCCTGATCCTGTTGATATTCTGATTACTCCAGTGTCACTTGGACCTCCTCCTACACGTAGTACAATGGAAGAGTTGGGACCAGTTGAAGCATATGTACTTAATACATTCCTTGTACCAGTTAACTTAGCAGGTAAGAAAATTTATTTTATAACTATGATGTAGAATAGAAGGTAATGAATAGTGTCAGCCATTAACCACAACAAAAGGAGTCAGAGACAACCCATGAGACTTTTTACAAATAACTGTGTTTAAAAGATGAAGGATTGATTCATAACAGTTACAATGTAATTCTTTAATGTATAAAATTTTTGGATGGGTTAACTTAACCCTATTATCCCTATATTATACTATTGATGCCAATTAATTTTAACCAATTTTTATTTTTTAACAATTCTTATTTGTTTTTGTATTGGTTGTGCTGCTAATTCCCAAATGCTATACTTCTCTCCTGTATTAGGATTACCAGCCATTAGTGTTCCTATTACTAGAGGAGAAGGAGAGCTCCCACTATCAGTCCAGGTTATTAGTAAGTGGTTTGATGAAGGCCTTATGATAAAGATAGCTAAACTTATAGAAACTTTTATGAGAAACAAAAACTGAGATACAAAAAACAGGGAATATATTTTTTGAG